TTCCTTGCGAGGTGCGTGTCTAGAAAATAGAAATGGCTTTTATATTAAGGGCGAGGTTAAGGAATGCAGTAATACTAAAAAATGCATTAACATGTAAGTAAACACAGCAACGCTTGTCAATCAGTCGCAAGTTACATCGAATTTCAGGGCAATTGATAAAACTAGAATAGTGAAGCGAATAGTGCGAATAGTGCGAATAGTCGACGAATAGTGCGAATAGTCCGCGAATAGTCGACGAATAGTGCGAATAGTCGACGAATAGTGCGAATAGTCCGCGAATAGTCGACGAATAGTGCGAATAGTCCGCGAATAGTCGACGAATAGTGCGAATAGTCCGCGAATAGTCGACGAATAGTACGAATAATCCGCGAATAGTCGACGAATAGTACGAATAATCCGCGAATAGTCGACGAATAGTGCGAATAGTCCGCGAATAGTCGACGAATAGTCGACGAATAGTGCAATAGAGAATTTGCAAGGCTTTCCACCGTGCTGTAGAACTAAATTTACCGAAGCGGGGCGGGGGGGGGGGCTCTATTGACAAACATGAAATCGTGAAAACATTCGTTGATGTCAATGACGTCATACGTAATCGGTAAAAATTACGGGACCACTGAGTTTTAACAAATATTTAACAGGAAGTAGAATGACAATCAGTGGCGCCGTGGGACCCATGTTTGTTTTTTTTTTGGGGGGGGGGCAAGGGCAGTACTTTTCCGACAAACCGAAAAAATTTTCCGACAAACCAAAAAGTTTTCCGGACGACAACATTTTAAATCTTCACCCCTACCCCCTCCCCCCCCGTCGACAACTTCGACAATTTCCGACAGCCTTGACAATTTTCCGACAATTTCCGGCAGCATTGGCAATTTTACGACGGATGTCAACAATAGGGGAGGGCCATGCCCCCCCCCCCGGCCACGGCGCCACTGATGACAATCACTAGACGTATGACGTCATTGACGTACGTCGACGAATGTTTTCACGATTTCATGTTTGTCAACAGAGCCCCCCCCGGTAAATTTAGTTCTATAGCACTGCTGCAAAGCCTTGCAAAGTCTCTATTGCACTATTCGTACTATTCGTCGCCTATTCGTGGATTATTCGTACTATTCGTCGACTATTCGCGGACTATTCGCACTATTCGTCGACTATTCGCGGACTATTCGCACTATTCGTCGACTATTCGCGGACTATTCGCACTATTCGTCGACTATTCGCACTATTCGTCGACTATTCGCGGACTATTCGTACTATTCGTCGACTATTCGCACTATTCGCTTCACTATTCTAGTTTTATCAATTGCCCATGTCGAGTAGATTTGCTGATCAAATGTCTTTATACTAATTTAATATACTATACAATTCTAAATAGTTTATTTTCA